ATTTTATGAGAATCAAATAACATCGTACTTTACCGTAATTTACCCCAGCAATTTTAGATTCCTTGTAGATAATTTTAAAATCGGAGCCCCAACCAATATTGAAAAACATAGAAAATAAACTACAATAAACAAATATACCGCATTCACATCAACTGCCGACGAATTATATTTAAGAATTTTAGCGACAGCACTAATAGCATTTTCAGTTGCTACATTCCCTTCTTCAGTAGATCTCGCATCCGCTCTCGAAATCATATTTGCTAGATGTGGTAAGGCGCCTACAAAATTTATTTCAAGAAAGCTAGTAGCCAATTTTGAGTACTTTTTGTTTTACGCAGAAAAAATTTTATTGAGGCTAGTGTCATCGATTAAATCTTCCATTTGTTTATCCATATTCATAAAAATCAAATTGCATTTTCTAACTGACTGTTTCTTTGTCCACTCATCAACTTTTAAAATGTTAATCATCAGCGCATATTTTATCTCATCTTCATTGACAATTTATAATTCCCACCTATTTTTTTCATCCACTTTTCTTGTACCCCATTCTTTTAATCTAACACCAAGCTTTTTCATTTTCGTAATATGATTCCTAAGAGTCTTTTACCTGCGCATGCTTGTGCATAAGTATTGCCACCGTGCTGTCCCATAATTCCAAATCCATATGCCGCACTTTGACGAACTTCCGGGTATTCGTCGGAAAGAGCACTAAGCATAGGACCATAAAAAGACGAGTAATATTTGATACTTGCATCACCACCATATTCAATCAAATCGTCGAATATGCAAATGGCCCACTGCCTTTCACTGTAATACCTTCGTGCATCCAACAGCGGAATAAAATGTTCAGCCAATCTTTCAAAATATGGAACAAAGTTGTGACCATATGCCTTAAAAAGGCAATGTATAATATCTGAAATGCGTGCCAATACACCCGTTTCCTCTTCTAATTCATCTTTCAGCGCTTGTGCTACATCCTCTTCATCATCATCTTCATCCTTCTGTTTTCCACGTTCTATAGACCGTTCAGTATATTCGACCATTTGTTGATTGACGATACCCAAGACCAATTCTAGTTGCTCCTGTGTAATCAGTGATGGACCCAATTCCTCAATACACTGCGCCACTCCATGAAGTTGATCAGCTAGCACTTCTTTATCATGCTCTCCCTCGATAGCTTCTTTGTATGCTGATATGGCGGCATTCCAAAGCTGCATTCTGAATTGATCACCTCTACCTCGAGCACATTCCAGTAAACATGGGAAAATATCGGCCGCTGCAGAACGCACAGCTGCAAAATTCTGTTTAGGAAATAAATTTATAAATAGGAAAAATGTTTAGGGAAAATAAAACCCTTTAAAACTTTATGACAATCTCATGACGAGCAAAAAATAAAGGATCTCTTAAAATCCTCCAAAAACCACGAAATTTTATCCTACTGTAATCATTTTTGCAACTTTGTTTTTCAGGAAACGAGAAAAACAGCACAGCATTCACTAACCATCATGAAACATGAACTTAAGATGAGAGAGCATTATTTGGGTAACAGGTTCGATATAAGGGCTGAATGCTGATTTGAGTTCACGGGCATAGCATACAAGCATTTCACATGCGGTGGCTTTATCTTCCAGTCCAGCTGTTTTTATACCTGGAAATTCCTCTTCTTTGAAGTCAACATTCAATAGGTAATATGAAACTCAAAGTAAAAAAATCTAATCTTTTATGCAATCAAAAAACGTCGCAACATCTATTTCGGCAAAGAAAAAATTAGTTGAAAGAGAAACTCAAACTTGAAAAAAATTAACTTACCGAACATCTTCTGGTCACCCAGAGGGACAAAATTCCAATCTGGATCCTCTTCCTGATTAGCGATATCTTCATCATTCATCAGCGTAACATCAGGTTTGATTGATGCAGCTCGTAATACTGGAGGCATTACAAGTGGTAAAAAAGCAGCAAATCCTTCACCAAGAATTTTACATATCCGGGCCCAAGCACTAATCATGTAAGATATCTAAAGAATTTTAAATAACTATCAGAATGAATTTTTATTAAACTAGCTCAAGCAACTGAAATTAAGCAGTAATAGAAGTTAAGGTTCCGAAGAAGGAAGACTTGGAAAACTCCCATCCGATAAGTTGTCTAAAACAATAGTTCTGATAACTAACGAGCATAACTGTTCTAAACTTCCATATAACTGGATTTAAAATTTTTACATTCAAATGAAATAATCTATATACCTGAGGATCATCTACTGAAATATGCTCGAATTGAGCCTGATTGGTCAATAACATTTGCATAATTTCATTCGCATCTTTAGCAAACTGTAAATAAAACATGAAGAAACTAACGGCTGCTTTAATGAATTTGAAAAAATATATAAAATAGTGCAATGAACTAGAAGTAGAATAAAAAAACAAACCTTTTCCTTCCCCACCGCTAATCCGATCAAAGATATACATTCAATAGTTTTACCACGAAGAGTATTCAATTCTTCGACATTCGAATTTTGTAAAATATACTTCAGTGGAGGCATTAAGCTTAAAAAAATTTGGAACTTTAATTCTCATAAAGATATAGCAGTTCAAATCCGCAACTAAACATCATAAAGAAGCTATCAACAATTACGGTTGCTGTTAAGTAGTCATATTTTCATCGACAATATTTGTTTTAATAAAATGAAACCTGTCATAGAAAACAATAAACTGGTCCTGAGCAGCATCGGCAACTGACGCTATCGTTGTGATGACCTGCTCCAACACAAGTTTTTTGCCGCGCTCCAGAAGCTTAAAGAATTTCAAGCATTAAAAAATCTCACGAGAGTTAAACCTCAAAAATGCAATGTTCACTGATTAAATAAACCAGCAGATCCATACAAGTTATACTTGGAACTTACTATTAAATTCGTGAAGAGCAATACCTGTTTGAAAGTGTGATCCAAAACAAACTCCAATTTTTCCATTATTTGAGGAAGATAAACTGCAATGATATTTTTTGGGCAATCTTCACTAAAGTTGACAAGTGCAGCTCCGGCATGCGCCGCAACGCGCGGACAATTTAAATCGATCAGAAGTGTACATAAACCATTCACGATCTAGAAATTTATCTGGATACTGTGAAGTGTTTCAAAAAGTGACTTGTAATGAGAAATAGTTGAATTTCTAACAGACATAAGAGTAGACATAAACATCAATAAGTTTGTCAAAATTCTGAATTATCAAGGCAACCTTTTCATGGCATTTTTTTTGAAGTGTCGGTGAAAAATCACTTGACATTTGCCCTAGGGCGTTACAAGCTGCATATCGTACACGTGGATGCTGAAATTAGGATAATTAAAAGTAATCGATGAAGAATTAAAACTAATGGGAAAATTTTCAAAGGAAAGAGTCCAGAATTTGACTTACCGAATCTCCCAAAAATGGCAGAACATTATTAACTATTTCTTCGATAACTGGTTCCATTTGACGCTTGCAACCTTCTCCAATGGTAGAAATTCCCATAATTGCTGCGTGTCGATTTTTCCAATTTTCAACTGAAACTCACTCAATTTCTCAGAGCAAAAAATGCAGAAGGAGAAGATTCCAAAATAACTGATTAAAAGATTTAAAAAATAAAACAAGACGAAAATGAACCATCTTGCATCATGCGTGGCACAATATGCAAAAACGGATTCAACACAAATTTGCCTCCCAAACTGCACGATATACGATCTAGTGATGATTCTCCAATGCCAGCATTGCTAAATATTTGGAATTATGATTTTTTGATACCGATATAAAGTCATTCATAATGAAAGAAAAAGTCAAAACAAACTTACTCCTCTCCATTATCTTCATCAGCATTATCGCAATTCAACCATTCTTCTGTATCATCATCAAGTTCAGTCATCAGATCCAGACACTGTTTTACTAAATAAATCGTGTACTGCATATCCAATTATAACTTTATTGAATAACGAGCTTCATCAAATTAACCAGTTCACAAGTTACCTAGAAGAAAATAAGTCAATACAATATGTTAGTAATACTACCAAACTTACACAACGATGGAATATAAGATGATGCTTTCTTCTTGACCATACCACTAGCACTCTCACACAACGATACCATCACTTCGAGTGCACTGTGTCGATATGAATCATCCTTGTGTATATCTGCGACTGTCTGGAAGTACATAAAATTGATTCCGAATTACAAATTAAAAAAGTTACGAGGAATCTGGGATATTCCTAACTTTTATAATATCTAAAACCCAGGTAAAAAAAATGTGACAAAAAAACTCAAGTGAAAAATGTTTCAATTAGTTAAATTTGCGAGTTAATAATTAAATAGAGTGAAAGATAAATTCAATTTCATAGCAACAATGCGTATGCTCTGCAAAAAAGTGGATGCTGTACACCATTTATTCCTCTAAAGAATGACGCAATGCCTTTCATAATCGATTAATTAGGAATGAGTTACGATAGAGAAATGCAGATTACTAATATCCTATTGGTTTTTGGTTATTCAATTCAACTTTTCTCGCACGCAAATGTTGGATATCGAAGCTGCTGTATTTCATCAAGAATAAATTGTGCAATATGACTGATAAACAAACAAATGAAAGTATTACCGATGTGCACAGTGTAAATACTTCAGTTAGGTGTGGCTGTAGAGTTTTCGGAACACTTGTTGCAAGGTCTCCCAAGCACTGCAACGGTACGTCATCATCATCTTCTGTAGCTACCACATGCTGACATACCTGCAACAGGTCATTTTTTGATGCCTTAAATTATGAATGAAAGAACATAGCATCAGTAGAAGTGCAATTTTTTAGTCAAAATCAAGAAGGCAGAAAATAACAAAATATCCAATTTACCTGGATAACTGCAGGCACTTGGTCAGAAAGTGATCTAATAACTCTGTCATCCTCTTCATTTTCACACATAAAAGCAACATATGCGCGTACTGCAGCAGTTCTAACCGATCCTTTGCTACCATAAAGCAATGATGATTGGAACATTTGCTTAATTCCGGGAAGATATCGGTCTTGATCACATCCAAAAATAGATGGAACATTCCTGTAAAATATACATTTTATATTTCTTAATATACATTAAATACACACCAATTTTTGAAAAAAAAAATAAAAGGTCATATAATTATAATGTTATGAAATATCTTGAATATATAGTCAAAAAAGCAATGTTTTGATTACATAATGACGAAACGTATCATGAGAAATAAAAAAGATGATACCTAAGAAAGAGCAAACCATCTAAAGCAAGTTTTTCGAGAAGAAAAGAGGAAGCATACTTTCTCTCTCAACAAGAGTAGCTAATAAATCCCTACTTTTGTCATAGTACGACATTTCATCACTCATTTATTTTTCAATATAATCAATCTTAAATCTGATTAAGTATGGTCCATAAAGCAATGCAATCAACTTACTCCAATAAAATCATTCCTGTTTCGCATAACATGGCATTATCTGAAGCACATAATTCCAAAAACTGAATAACACCTGACCAGCTTTGACGTCCTGTTTCGGTGTCTATAATATGTTTCTGAGTGCTTCGTTAAAGAGTCGCAAACAAAATCAGACATCATAAATAATAGCGCCTAAGAATAAAAATCATGATTTTAATTTCAAGCAGAAAAATTATGTGGGAAATTTTTCAAACTTTATTTTGCAAGAATGTTTCGAATATCTCGCAATTAATCATCTCTTGAAACTTGATTTCTTGGAAATGTTTTGATAAATAAAACTCAATAATGCCGAGTAGCTGAATAAAAAAATTTTTCATTCAAAAATGAAAATGAAAAAAATAAAAAGGATTAAGGTACCAATAGTAGATCGAGCAACCTCGGCAATAATATCAGTCAAGCGTTTCCGCAGCACGGCATTTTGCTCTTCAGTTGCTGATTTTAAAATCTGCTCGCAGAACTCCCGCCGATTTTCCTCAGACCAAGCAGGCCATAATTCATCCCATTGGTGTGATAGGATTCTTCGCATTAATACTAGGCACAATGATCGTGTCTGGAAATTATGAAGCTCCAAGAAGAAACACATTCATCTATCTTCAACTACCACGAAAAATATTTGACTTGCTAGGAAATTTATGGTATCCGTAGATTGCTTTCGACATGGCATCACCATTGCATGATCCACTCCGTAATTGTGAAGAAATAAATTACCTTTTATTAGAATCTTCTCTATTTAACAGGCTGATTATGATGTGAATCTTGAACCGGGAATGAAAGACAGTAGTAGTATACTTTCTTGTCTGTAAGATGTTGTAAGCTATGATGAAATTTACAAGTCCTGTTCCTACGGATTGTAAGAAAAAGCACTGTGAATCCTACCTCAATATCAGCACTTTGATCCATAAATAATTGAAACAGTAGCTGGGCCTTTGGTAACAATTCAATATGATCATACTGTTTTTCCGCTTCTTTTCTTGCTTCATTTTCAGGAAAAAGCATGCGACTAATTAAGTTATTGAAATCTTGTAAACTGGTCATTCTTTTAGAATTATGCAATTTAAGGGGCTCTTTGTATAACAAACAACAAACGATGAAACCTGAAAATGCACAAACTGAATAATGTAAAGAAATTAGTAGAGTTGAAGGAAACACTATCATAAATATATTATATTCAACATTCAGATTTGTAAACCAATACAAATTTTGAAGGCACTAGAACATTCGATCTCATTCGAGGACCTGATTAGGTATACCATCCGCATGTTCAATTTGAAGACACTTTTTATAAACAACTAACACAATTTATAGATAAAGATAAATTAAAGAAGTTATTACGTCTTGAAAAGATATATCAAATGCAAATTAATTGCGACAGGTAAACGGTAGAGACATTCATAAAATCTATTTTATCTTGTGCATAAGGGAATAAAACCTTGAGACATGTGAAACATAGGAGAGTATATAATCAACCGGAAACGATTTACATATCTACATGCTATAGGTTCATTTCGGGATATCTCAGGCGAGAGCATAATGAATTGGGTAATTAGATAATTCTAAATCAAACAAACACCATGAATCTAGTACTACGTTCTAAGAATGCTGCAAATGGAAAGCTATTCGGAAACCCGATGAAAAGCATCTCAACACGATCCGAGCAATGCAGTCACGTTTTCGCGGCACTAATTTCTGCAGGAAGATTAGTTCGTTGACGTTCTACCTTCAGTTATCTCGTCGATAAAGGAACTAGCAATTTTAGCAGCCACAAAAGACTATCATTTAGCCTGTCTATGATCTGCCAATATTCATACGTCTAGCTCAGTCACCGTATTTTCAGAACATTGAAAATTTAACCGATTTATAAAAACATGGCAGAAACATTTCCATTGAGATCAATCAAATAAGAGAAAAGATTTTACAAAGCATTTTAAAGTTTTCCACTAACATGTCGATTTTAGTTAATGACCGATCTTCTACCTTGTGCGTCTTTTTTCAAAGCATTTCTTTTCCCTATTCGAATACTTATACACACGCATTTTTAATTGTTTTTTCAAGTCAAATGCAGCTTTTTGCAAAGATTCAAAAAAGCTGATTATGCGCCTCCCTCATTTCGTTTAGTTCCCCTGAATAAAGTTATCTCTTTTACAGTCATATCGTTGCGAATTAGATTTACCGTTTCGTAAATTTTCTCTGATAAAGCCCAAAATATTTCACAATCGAATTGTTATTACAGTGTGTTAACTTTTGATGATACTTTAACTAGGCATACACATTCCATATACTGTCTTTATTAGGCCATGCAAATAAAGCAAATTTAGGATTAGTTAAACAGAAAGAAAAAAATGGAAAGACTGAGTTATTGAGTTTATTTTGAAACAGTTCTAGCATTATTTTTGAATTCATTCTATTACTGTTCATATAAGTAAAATTAAAAATTTTATGCATTTGGACGGCATTCTGCACTTTACCGCTATTACCAATCTATTTGTACGTTTGTTTTAAACTGCTTTTGTCAGAGATGTGCTAAAATATGATAGATCAACTAGACGGATAACTTATCAATTGATCCGATTGTATAACACAGGGAAGAGCTATTTAGTGAACCATCATTCTTTAAATGAGAAAAAAAATCACGAACAACGTATGACACATACCTAATTCTCGGAAACATGTAAAACCACCCTAATTCAAAGTCACCTTCCCTCGTGGCCTATGACTCTCGCCATTCTCTTTTTTTTTTCGAACTTGTTCCCTATTGCAGCACTATATTAGTAGAGAAATTTCTCGTGGGCCTGAGAAGGACGGATAATTTGGACAGGTATGTACGTACAGCCAATCAATCCATCTGATAGCTTAAAACTAGGCCTTTGTTTTTTTTACCATTCTAAATAACCTAAAAAGTTGTTTCCTTTAACTCCTTTTAAAGTAAAGTACAGAATGCCGAGTATCTTTCCAAGATCAATTTGCATGTATTGCAATTCTGTAACTCTTGCAACAGACTGTCGCGAGTCTCGTTATATTTTGAAATATTGTTTTGAACTATTTTTGCAATTATTGATTATTGCATTTCAACTCTCCTTAGGAAATAAAGACATTTATGAAATAACTTTTCAGACAGATTTAAAGAAAAATTGCCTGTATAGATATAGATATTTATATATCTGTTTATATGTTTATTGCACGTGAATGCAAATTTACAAATTCATCTCGGTTTGTTATTAGACATTACCATTGGATATATCTGCCCCTTAGCATTATTCTCTCTCTCTCTCTCTCTCTCTCTTCCTTTCTATTTCTTTTTCATACTTTTTTTGAGGACAGGAGACGGAAAAGATAGGAGAAAAGTAAAAGTATATTGTTCATACAATTGTGTTATTGATTGATTGTGGAGTGTTCTGTGTAAACTGTGGAGTATTCTGTGCAAATTTTTGCAGAACATTTGTCCTCAGTTCTTAATGCTCAATTATTCTGTTCCAGATGGGTATCAATTATAAAGCGATTAATCTTAGATGAATTCATTAGTTGCAACTGATTGATTTATCAGTAAGACTATATGATACTTTGGAAACGAATGTTTCAATTCCTTTATGAAGAATAAGTGGGTAATAAGAAATGTTGGGAAAGAGATGAGGAAGAATGATGAAAAACAACATTCAGTTTGTTTCTCTAACATTAAATTTTCGTTTCTAAAGGAAGTGTATGTTTTGCACATGGTTGCTACTTGTATACCTATTAGCAAATGAAATGATGTGACGATCTGTTTCAACGGAGCACTGCCATTCAAGTAATACAATACTCATTATGTCATCCTTTACAAGACTGAACTTCCTTCATCTGAAATGCCTAATCATTTTTACTGCAAATATAATTCCTTTGTTTCACTCTACGCAAAAGCGCGCTAGCAATGATTCACTTGTATTTTTCCATAAACGAGAAAAAAGCAAATGCTGAACTTTATGAAAAGCGTATGTGGGGAAGATATTAAAGATGATACTTTTTAGTGGACATAATTAATTATCATTATTGCAGTTCCTTTCTTTATCAATTTTTTTCTTAATTTTTCATTTAAATTTTTTTCGGAAAACTCTCTTTTAATTATTGTTTTTCTGATTTGCATTCTGTTGGAATATTATTCATATTGGCATGGTTTATCACTATTTCAATATCAATGAAATTATGAGAATCAAGTCGGCTTATTTAAAAAGCTTTGAGGTTGTAATAAACCATGATCTGTTAATGTGAAAAATTCATAAGTAAGGAGTATAATCATACACGAACTTTTTTATTGTTATTTATGTATATCAGTTATTCCAAAAATATTTTCAGGTGAATAGTTACATTATTGAACAATGAATTACAAGTTGACGTATTTTCCCATTCGAGGCAAGTTTTCATGGTATGGAACTGTTGAGTAGAGCTAGATGTTGAGCTTAATCATTAAGCTCGCGATTCAAAAATCAAGGAGAGAGAACATTTTCACCAAGTCAAGCTACCAAATCACTGATAATCTGATTGTCTTAGATTTACCGTACGTCATAAAATTATAAATGATCATGCTCTACAACCTCTAGCTCGTTCTTATGTTTTCTTTTTATCACTCATCATCCTTCGGGTTTTCCTTTTCATTTTAGGTTTGGCTGAGCCAATTCGTCTACTACTGGTTGATCAAAATATAAAATTCACTGATGATCGCGTTAATAAAAGCGATTGGCCTGCTATAAAATCACAATTCGTAAGATGCTTTGCAATGAAATGTTTATTGAGCATTATTTTCAGTTATACGAAAATTAAAAAAACAATTACGGTTTTGTTAACTATCCATTCTGTTTATTTAGCAGTTCGAACAACTACCTTGTCTCTACGAAGATGAACAGCAAATTGTCCAATCTGGTGCTATCCTGAGACATCTTGCTCGCAAACACAGTATGTTACTATCTGTGCTATTCTTACACACGTCATTTTCTCTGCTAAAAGATCAGTGCAAAAAGAGTGCAATTCGTTGATGAAGCGCAGCTTACTGGTTGCTATTTTCTGTAGTTTGGAAATTACAAATATTATTTTTCCATACAGTTAATTTTGATGACCTTTCATGTAGATTTGAATGGTGGAAATGAGCTGGAAACGACATATATTGATATGTTTTACGAAGGCATCCGTGATCTACACACCAAATATACAAAGATGATTTATTTGGCTTACGTAAATATTTTCCACTTAAAATTATGCTATTAAATTTATGGATTGTTGGATTGTTTTTTGTTTGGTCGAAATTACTCTATCAGATAGCTGAAGTGGAGTAATATGTTTTGAATTTTTTTTTCTCATATACAGAGAGGTAAGAGAGGAAAAGACATAATCAAAAAATCAGAAAATTAAGTGCCAAAAACCATCCGTGGTCAATTCTTGTTAAACCAATTCTCTCATCAATGTATTATCACTTCAAAAGCACGACTGTATTCATTGCTTTTTAGGAAACTGAGAAGGATTCCTATATAAAAGATATATTACCAGTAGAACTAGCGAAACTTGAAAAATTGCTTGCTACACGAGACAATGGAAAAAATTTCATTCTGGGAAACAAGGTTCTTGACTTATTCAATCTAAAGGAAATCTTGATTTAATTGTAATTGTTTTCAGGAAGTCTGAATTACAGTAATCGATAAGAGATTACTTATTATAAATAATATATGATCAAAACAATAAAGATGATAAAAAATAGCGTTATTTTCATCCTTGAAAATATCAAACCATCTGAATATGATAAGTTTTAGATTTCATTCGCAGATTTTGCTCTTTTCGAAGAGCTTGACATTCATCAGATTCTCGATCCACATTGTCTGAATAAATTTCCTCTTTTGAAGGCATTTCATCAACGAATGCAAGAGAGACCAAAACTTAAGGTTATGTCGTTTCATTAAAACTTTTTAAAGGATTCTTGAAGTATAATGAGCAAGAAGCACGCGTCACTTTGATTAGATGTCTTTCCAATGGCGTCTACACAGACGTTCCGAAGAAATATTTGTTGTGTTTTTTTTTTTTTTATTTAAATAACTTATTTTGAAGGAGTACTACGAGCAACGTAATACAGCAAAGGTGCCAGTTAATGGAAATGGAAAGCAGTGAATGATAAATCAATTTAACATTTTTTTAAAATCATCTCTTTCTAAGACATTTCACTTTGAGACTTCGTAAAACTTCTTATTTCACTTTGAAACGTTGCAAAAACTTTAAAACGATGATTTTTATTAATTGATTTTTTTATCGTTAATAAAGTTTCTTCAAATAAATCAATTTTTTCCGCCGATTCTTAACGTAATTATTGTCCTGTAAAGTTATAAATCAGTTGGTAATGGAGACTTTTGAAATAAACAATGTTTCGAGAAAAAAACACGAAAATTTCCGAACATATATATCGTATATTACTTTGTTCATTAATTTTCGATAATGCATTAACCAAATTAAAAACTATGAAGTTTTGACGATCATTTAAGAAATGATGTATTTTGGACCGATTCATTCCTTGGCTGAAAGAGCAATTTGCATTACTTCGAGGATATTCCTTTTATTTGTTCTTCAAACTTCTTTTCGTAAGAAATTTATTTCCGTGCTTCTAACCTAGATCTTAAAATCTATTTGAGATTTTGCTGACCCTATATATCGGTGATTCTCACGACCAATTACCAGTTATTGGTCATCGAGTGATCGCTTTTTTTCACTTCTTAGAAATAGATTAGAAAAAATAATCATCAAGAAAGAGTTGTCGGGCGCAGAATAATTCATATGTTTGATTTGTCCTGCTTCAATCAGTTTACAGTAGATCACTTCATCACATATGTATTTGTAAGATGCACTTTCTGGCTCCTTTATTAATATTTGCTGGAAATCTTGAAATTCAGCCATCTCTTCCAAGAAATGAATACGAACACAATCTTCAAGAATTTATGGAGGGTAATTGAGTGAAGCAAGTTTTATTTTATTAAATGGCATAAATATGTTACAGCAAAACATCGATAAAATGATATTAAAAGATTATTATCTGCACAATGTTTACTAAAGAAATATGCAAAGAGAGATATGTAAATACTGAAGTGAGATTAATTTTTAACAAAGATTGGAAATAAATACGACAATATGCTGTTTTATTTTGGATGCTCAACTAAGCGGAGATAAGATTTTCCGGATGGCAGTTCAACAGTGTTTATCTTCTCACCAAATAACTTCTTCGCCTCATTATCATCAATCGTCGGTATCACAACACAATCATCACCATTCTGTTAAGAAATTAAATCAGTAAATAATTAACTTGGATGTAAAATAATGATAATACTTTTAGAACTTCTAATCTGACGGCATCTTGTGCTGTGTATTTCTGCTTGAAAAATTTCCACAATTATATCTTTTTTTTTTACAATTTTTTTTCACAGTTTCACAATTTAACAAGTATAACATTTTTTAAAAATCTCAAGATTATTAATATCAACTGGGAAGATTATTCTTGCATGTCAGCATTTACAGAAATACTAACCTTCCAGTCGACAGGTGTTGCGACTTGTTTAACTGCTGTCAGTTGAAGCGAATCAACAACGCGTAGAATTTCACTGCAAAATACGGAAGGCATTAAAATAATCAGCTCATAATTTGTCAAATGAACAACCGCTATTCTTCCCGAAGCTTATTCACTTCACTGATCCTCGAAATCTTACACATTATTGCAATGTTAACTCTCTACGGAATACTGTGTAGGAAATACACTGTGTTATCTCTCAGTTTAGTTTACACTCTAATTTTACTCAAATTAATCATGCAATTTTTGAAAATTTTCAATGAATCCTAATCAGAATTCGAAGAGCATCGATAATTGAATAAGTTTTAAATATGTTCCTTCATCTGGAAAAAATAATACTTTGAAATTTAATTCACAAAAATTTTTAAGATTTTACATACTCAAAATTTCGTCCCGTTGTTGCAGGATATAAGATAGAAAGTTTCAACGTTTTATCAGGTCCGATTATGAATAGCTGAAAAAATTTTATACAGGGACTATGCTGAAAGCTATGAGTAAGTTTTCAAATTTTTAAGCGTCTCTCCTTTAGAGAACTATATGAGCTTTAATGAAGTCAGGAATTTCGCACATTTCGTCCATATAATGTAAAATTTTTAATCAAAACATAGCTTAAACTCATGAAAATATGATTTAAAGGGTTTGATAAAACTAACGCAACGTGCGGTCAACGCAGCGCCCTTTTCATCACGTTCGTCCGGATCCATCATTCCCAATTTGGTTGCTAGAAAACGTTTCTCATCTGCTATTATCGGAAATGGTAGTTTGTTTCCTGAAAGATAAATTCTATGTTAGCTGAAACTAATAGAATATCGAAAAATTTTGAAATTACCGCTGATGGTGATCATGGAAATTTTTAGCAGTCTAATAATGGCAAGTAATATTAGAAATATAAGATAAAATACCTAAGCAGCTGGTACCACAATCACCAGACTTCATTTTACACAGTTCAATGATATCAGCAGCCCATTCACGATGTGACTGTGCTGAGTCACAACTTAAACCAATCAGTTTTATATTCCGTTTCTTGAATTCTGGTGCTAGTTGCACTAGTCTAGCAAGTTCGGTGGTGCAAACTGGAGTGAAATCTCGTGGGTGAGAAAATAGAATTGCCCAGTTGCTGCAATTTTGAGCATTCGAAAATAAAGAATATATAGATCAATATCAATTAGAACTAACTAGAAACAGTGGAAAAAAAAATGATGAAGTGAAAAAACAGTGGAAGACAATTCTGTTCAATTTTCGCTTACTTATACCAAATCTAATTGTGCCTTATACTCAACATACAACAGATTATGTAGGAATTTCACGGAGCATCCACTTAGCTAAAATTAAATCGATGCACAACGTGCCTCACATTATCATTCTAAGCCTTATTATAGAACTGTATAACTATAAATCACATACTCTTTACCAATCCAATCATGAAAACTCGAAATGAAATTTTCATTGGTTTCGGCTTGGAAATCCGGGAATTTATCACCTAGCAAAATACCTGTAGGCATTGTTATCTGAAATGCAAATTTTGCAAATTACACAAATATGATTCGCAATATGCAAATGTAAAATATTTTTCGGCATCTTAAGTTGTATGTTTTTTTGATTTTAACGAAATGCAACTATATTTAGCAAATAAAATTTAGAACGCTTAAAGGAAATTGAGAAAATTGTAAAATATTGAAAACACTATTGTCTGAAAACGGAATTACGATGAAAAAATGAGTTAATTTTAAAATATTTTACAATAAAGCGAAACCATACTGCTCAATGACCATCTTCGCAACGAATTAAATGATTAAAGTGAACATACATGCTCACATTTCAATGTACATCCCAATTTTACAACGAAAATATCGAAGGTCATAAAAACCTCCAAAAACGTTGAAATATGCAATAACCTTCACATTTGTGTCTACAACACATTGTCTGATCAGATATCTTATATTTTTCTGCTATTGATGACATTCATTTAGTTCACCAATAGATTTGCAAGTGTTATTTACTATCTAAAGTGCTTCGATATTTCAAATAAATAAGTTATTGAAGCTGTTTATTCAAAAATCCAGAACAAAAAAAAAAAAAATAACAGAGATTCAATAACACGAATCAGAAGGAGCGTTTCACGGATAATCATTTCCTTTTCGAAGTAATTATGTTTAATACAACAATTAATAAAGATATCATTTAAGTAATAAAAATATAGCGTATTTAAGTAATAAAATAAAGCCTCTTTTTCTTTTTCGTTTTTTTACGAAACAAGCTCCCTCAGAAAAAATTAAATTATGGAAATGAATCGAATTTGCAAAAATCCTGAAAGAAAGCAATCCTTTGTAATTATATGAGCAAATAATTTGTGATATTTTGTGATAATTTGGAATAATGTTCTTGTTGATAGGTTTTTTTTGAAATGTATCAAAATGAAAAAGTTATAAAGAGAGATGAGAACCAATGCTAAAAAAATTAGATAATTGCCAACAACAAAAAAAAATGTCATCGCCATGTAATAAAAAACTTCATACTTTTTTGTAAAATAAAATATAATCAAAGGATCATTTCTAAAGTCGCTATATCTAATTACTCAGTATATTATAGAATTTTACATAGTTTGTGATGTGATAAGTAGATCGTAGCTATTGCGGTAGTGAATAATTAAACATTTCATTTCAAAATTTCAACACAAACTTTATTTTTTCCTAAAAGAACGAAATTCGATTAAATTCCCAAACTTTCATTTTTCTTAAAGTTGTCCAGTATAAAGAAAGCACTGTACATCGATATTAAAAAAAATCAATCTAAATCCATATCATCCGTGATACCATCAGTCTGGCATTTCCCATTTGCTACTCTGCTTGTGGATGCATTCAATAAGCAATTATGTTCATCCTTAAGCGGTATATCAAGCATTTCTTCTTCGTCGATTTCAAATTCTTCAGTTGCTCCTGATTCATTTTCTGGTGATCTTAACAAGCCTGAAATTGTGGCATATGTTACATGGAGCTCCTCCTCCATAAAACAAGCAAAAAGACATGACTAGACTTACAAATCTAAAACGATAGTTCTTGTGTTCGTGAAGAAATTTTTTAATTTCAACAATTCTAAAATTTTATTTAAAGACAGACAATTTTTTTTCGAGAATCCATGATTTAGTCCGTCAAGTGCTTTTTATAAACAAATGAACAGTGTATTGCATTCCGTCAACAGTTTAAAAAACTGTTCAAATCCATACAAACAAATTTTTAAGCTTCAACAATCCTAAATATTATACCTAGCGTAAAAAGAAATATGGATATAATTAGTCTCAAAACATGTATACCTTTAATCATATTTCCTAGGAATCCACCTTGAGCTGTTTGTGGTTGCGGCATACCCATATATATTTGGCCTATCTTCCTCAACAATTGTTTATACTCCGGATCACGATTGATTTCGTTTTCATACTGCTCAATTAGCACTGTGAAGTATACTGCCTATAAACCAAAATCAATGTAAAAACTTATAGGTTGTTATATGTGTTATAATCAAGCTTATGAGAAATTGGAACTGGTTTCATTATAATAAACAGCTGCTCTTCCACGAACTTCATTTAAAAAAATAAATATTAAAAAAACTATATTTTTGACTCTTTAGAGTATCGACTATAAAGATTATATATTATCTATTAATTCCTAACTTCTATCTTTTTTCTAATGCAGTTATTCAGTTTAGCAAGAATTATTGGAAAGTACACCTGTTTATTAGCAATGCATATTATCGCATAATGTAAAAAGTTGAGCAATGGAAATGGATAGGGAAATCCATTTCTAATATCGGGATGCATATTAGAATAAGATTCTAATAATTTTAAGGCACTCTTCGGTCTTCGATCGCATAGCATCTATAACACAGAAACATAACTTCTTATCTCAGAGGAAAGAAAAAAGTTTTCAAAATATTACGAAATCATATTAAGTAGTAATATCGATTTCAACAAAGCCTCAATTTTGTTTTAATGATATCAATAAAAATCATAAGTTGTTTGAAAGACAATTAAACCAACTTGTAAAACAGCTTGTGTTATGAACAAGTCTTTTTCCGCAGTGTATCCGTATTTCATTTGATATTCAATAAGAAATATTGCAAATGTCTGAAATCAGGACTTTCATTTTTACAAACACAGAGAAGAATTAAAAATATATGAAATGAAAAAGAATATGACGGTTACAAATAACAGTCACATAATAAAGTGTCATTAAACTGGCGAAACCAATATATATTTGCCAAAATGCATTGACGGATGATGTCTGGATGCTATAAAATTAAAGAATTTCATTCATCAAAGAGTGCACATCTTATTAACGAAAAAAAAAACCAGAAAATCAACTGAAATCCTTGATAAATCATAGAAGCACACAGAAAAACTCACTTCTGGATTGTCAGCAGACATAAAATGATTTCTTGCGTTGATGTAATTTCCATCACGCCACAGCGACTTCGCAATGCGACTAAAACAAATCAGTTTTTCTTCAAAGTCAAGGACGAATTAAAAACCGAAAATTTTAGTGTCAAGTAATTTTCAGAATTTTTTGGAGCTTTCAAAATGATTACTCATAAGCTACATTCAGCTTAACTAACAAATGCAATCCGGGATGACCACGACGCCGATAGCGTTTCCTGTCGCCTACAGCCATCGTCCATTTGATAGCTAAGGAAATGTATCGTAATCTTCGATCTTCTCGTTCCGAATTGGCTTCTAAATCTTTTTCCAGCTGGGCTGGTAAAAGATTAAGCAACTGAAAAGACACTTGCGATAGTCAATTAATAATAACATTCCCATGATCTACTCGAAAATGATAATGTACTGTAATTTCTAATCTCTTATATATCAACTTTCTACAATGATAAGGATTTACTTTCTTAACATACCACATCATCAGATGCAATCAGAGCTCAAAAGTAACAATTCTAAAGTAAACATTTTGTATTCTGATGTAAATCGGTAAAATGTAAACATTTTGATATTCCGAAATAAAAAAGCGATCAAAATAAGCATGTGAATCAACTTCATCAAAACGATCCAAAAGAGCTGAAGAGACAGGTGTCTTCGACTTCTCCAAGGCTTCCACAAATAATTCGGCAAGATCGATTGCACTTGCTGCTTCACCTGCTGGAAATCACATGGTTTAAAAGATATACAATACTGAATAAAAGAAAAAAGTCCATGTTATGAAAGCGCTAAGTACGAATGTAAGATATTAAGCATAAATAAAATCACTTGTCAGAAAATATTTCTCTCACCAACATCATAAAATTGTTAGCAGTTCCTCATCCGATTTTTTTCCCGCTTTATGCAGTTTACATAATTGCACACAATCTCTACAACAAACAAACTTTCAGCCACTTTAAAGATTTAATTTAAAAAGGCAACTTCCGACTGACAGACCAACCTTCCAGAAGTCGTAATATTCCATTATATAGTATATCTTGTAACTCTTGCCACTTCCCCTGGTTGGATAATCGATTGTACATCGTACGACAGATCTGATGTGCCTCATAATAGTTGCCATATTGGAAGCATAATCGCAACTTCTCCTCACTTCGAGACATTTTAAATAATTTACACAGATCGTAATTCTGAAAAACCAGTGAATTCCTTCATTTTCTTCTTTCAAATGTCGCCTTATTTTTAACCAGTAAAGCGACATTCCGAAAACGATTTAACAACGTTCTTTTTACTCGTTCTTCCTCTTGATTAACAGATAGTTTCGAATCTTGCTGTCCCACAATATACATCCACAAGTCATGTCAGCCTAATATAAAAGCTTCGAGATTTCAAAACCTCGCAGACATACAAACCCTTATTCATTCACGAGAATTTAATACGAAAATATGTAAGAATGCTCAAACTTCATCAAATAAAAAAAAAGATACACAATTATGTTCTGTATCTGCTCTTTCTCACTCAAAAACATATCTTCTATTCAAATTTTGAATTGAGAACTATTTCGATCTGTTTTACCTAAAACTCAACCCTAAATCTTATTGTCAGCAACCAACTGACATACATAGGCAAGCAAAATTACTGATGGTAATTTTCATTCCACATAAAATGGCCACAGTGTTAAAATATTCACGATCAATTTATTCGCCGAAAACTATTTCCGAATAAATCCCGAAACATATATAATATTTATATCAGTCAATAATAACAACATATTTCCTAAGAGAAAGTAGAAATTATGGCATGAATATGCCCGAAAACAGTGCATTTTGCATAATAATTTTAAACTAATCCGTCGCATAAAAAGTTTGCCAAATCTACTCAAAAAATCTCGTTTCCTTATCATTCTTCAACTGAAGAAAACATTACAGTCAATAAAAAGTTTTGTCAGTTTTGGAAAAATTGCTTAAGAATTTTAATAAGACGTCAAAAAAATATACGTGCAATAATGATTAATTGAAATGATACAAAAATTATGAGTGAATAGTATAAAAAAGTACCATTGCATTTAACAATACAACAAAACGAAACAAAACAACACGTAACACTTCGATACGTACACTTCAGTATGAGCGGCCACCCCAACCGGCGTGACCTGAATTTCCAGAAGACCCACCCCATTGTTGTCCATTACCGCCACTTCCCTGCCAGCCACCCTGCCCACCTCCGCTGCCACCACTCCAACCTGCAAAAAATTAACAAATTTCAGATGACTAAAAGACTGTTTGTTAAAGCAAAGTTGGCTCTCAGCATATTTTAATTAACTACTAGGAGATACTTTCTTGAATCGCAAAAACACACCTGAGGATGCTGACTGAGAACCATTCCAAGCACCATGAGCAGCAGCACCCCAGCCACCTGGACCATCACCGCTTGGACCCCATCCTAAAGTTTTTGTTAAAAATTTGTAAAACTATTAATTTTACAAAATCAAAAAACACTCTCCAAAAATGTAAATAGTTCTTTCCGGAAAAAATCAAACCTCCAGCTGAAGCACCATATCCTCCGTAGCCTCCACCATAACCACCACCACCTATAAAACACAAATAAAAAGCAAAGCAAACCTGCGAAAATGATAACAAAACCAGCATATCCTTACTATCATTTTGAAATCAAAGAGTGACATTACCTCCCGAAGGTGGCCCCCACTGACCACTAGGAGGACCACCAGGCCCACCCCATGCTCCACCATAGCCCCCTGGTCCGCCGCCATATCGATCAGGTCTCATTGTACCTCGTGATCGTCCCATTCTCTCCGTGCGTTCTCGATCCAACTGCTGAGCCTACAAAAACCTGTCGTTTAAATTTCAAATTTAAAAAATCCAAAAGATCATTTTGCCGTAAAATTATTCAACAACCTTCGCCATTTCTTCTTTGCTTAAAGCTTTCTTCACATCACAACGATAATTATGAATCTGATGACTTTTCTGCAGCACACATTTATCTACCGGGTCATAATCATCAAAGGAGATGAAAGCGAATCCCCTTGGTTTTCCGGTATTCTTGTCAGCTATAATTTCTACCTGCAATGCTGATATGAAAACAAGAAACAAATCTATAATGATAAAAAAGTCTATCACCTATTTCTTTTGTAAGTGATAACTATCTACCAGTTTTATAAAATCAACTGATGAAATTATAATGCATTATATTTATTTTTATCACATTCAGAAGCTGTTTTTTACTTTGAAAATGAACTAAAATTACCTTCAACACTTTACCAAACTGATTGAAATAATCCTCGAACATTTGTTCGGTATGTTCCTCACGAACACCGGAAACATACAATCGTTTAGAGGAAACATTAGCTTCGCTACGAGCCGACTGATCACGCGGTACAGCTCGCTTCGGATCTACTGTTTTCCCATCGATTATATGTGGTCTCGCCGCCATTGCAGCATCAACCTAAAACAAAACATAACGCATAAAATTTAACTATTTTATAAAAAAAGAGAGAACTCATCTAAAGTCACTCTTTTCGTTGTCTAAACACCTAAAAGAAAATCAGAATTTCAAATGTCAAAAATCTTGCCTCGGATTGCTTAGAAAAGCTAACAAATCCAAAGCCTCGTGAACGCTTTGTTGCTGGATCTCTCATCACAATGCAATCCACTAGCTCACCCCACTGAGAATAGAATTCTTTGAGTGCTTCATCAGTCGTTGTTGCCGATAAACCACCAATAAACATCTTTCGAAACTGTTCTGGCTCAAGTCCATCGCTCTAAATACAGAAAATGTTTCAAGTATTGCATGTGAACAACCTCGCAGCACCCAGCACAAGAATAAAGAGAGGAAGCACAGGATGGATACATGCAGCACCCGTTTTAACTGTTTTAACGTATTCTGAACTTCAACTTTAAAAACTACAGCTCTTGAAAAATGCAATCTTTATTATCCAGCTTAGTTTACTGATGTTATCAGTTTAAGCCATTTTTGTTCTTTCACAGTAAAAACAAGTATCACAGATAGCCACCAGTGGTAAGAACGCGATAAAGGGGGATTACATCTCACCTTAGTGGACGTACCTTACCTGTTCTTGTTCGTACCTTTAATTCTCCTCCCGATAAACAAAACTAAAGTAAAGTCTTACACCATCTTCAGTCTTCACCATCGTTCTCTTTGTTTCTAAGTCTCGACAGTAGTGATAGTAGAGGTAGTAGTAGTAGTAGTAGTAGTAGTAGTAGTAGTGTACGGTCACTCCCTCTTTGATCACGTAAAGTACATACACTGGTTGTACCAAATGACGTATATATAGGCTGATCTCTCACAAAATACTGTATGTCACTGACAACTGATCTCACAGCAATATCTAAAGGTATATAATACCAATCAATATATGCGACCAAACAAATCGTAACGCTTTGTTAAGTGTTTAGAAGTACTACAGCTTACCATCTTTCAAACGTGAAATCAGCTTCACGTTAATTACAATAAAATGAGAAAAATGTACTGACGATAAGCCTAATCTCTCCTTACCTGACAAAGATCTAAAACTAAAACTTAGCATTAACGTTGCCAAAAGCTTTCCAAAAGCAATTCACAGTCAACAAGCAAATAATTCCCAACACTTCTATTAGACACGTACGACGAGACATTTCACTTCCTTCTTCTCTCTTCATCTGACTCCCTCACCAATATATAACTTCAACACCAACCTTGTTTTCTTTGGCGTAATGTGTTGCGGAAACACCACTTCAATCCAAATACAAAGCTCCTACAAATAATAGATAAAAACCGCCATGCATCCATTTAAATCAAATTGTTCAGCTTAGAATTGGCTCAAGCACTACTTTTATTCCATTACAGTAATAGATCGTTGAACTAACGGTGGGGATATTTCATCTTCCAGAACAATGGGCCAAATAAATGCACGAATACATTAATCAAAAAAAGTGCATAAACCGTGGATCATCATCAGAATTAAAAAAAGAACTGATCGTCTGAAAATTTTTCAACAGTGACAATAACAAATATAAAGTCTTGTCGAAGTTTTATGCTACACAATGCTTCACATTGAAGAAAAAAGCATACGAAATAACAATTGCAATAATAAGAAATTTGAGACAGAGACAATGTGAAAACGCAGAAACTACAAAAGATTGTAAAAATCATATGAGTGAATTTCTGCAACAAAATACTGTTCACAAGATTTTAGAAAAAAATTACTAAGTCTACAGATATTACAGAAAATGATGTAAAAATGCATTTCATTGCCAGCAAATCGAGAGGAAGAAAACTATACTTTTCCCAACATCTCAACATTTCCATAATTTTCTTAGAAGAAAATGAGAGGCACAGCAAAACTAAAACACAGCGAAGTTGTAAAGAATCAAAATACAGAACTTGAAATAGCATAAAATCTGTATTTCGGGACCACCTACTGAGATCGTTGGAAAAACCATGAAAAAAGTATCAGCAGCGAAAAGACGTGTACCGCATGTTCTTTTAATCCACATTCTCAATAACCTCGACCTCCCCAGCCGCCACCTCCACTTTGTCCACCTGATCCACCCCATGATTGTGCAGCACCTTGTCCGCCCGTGCCCCAACCTCCTTGACCACCGCCCTGGCCCCATCCTGCACCTGAAACACATAAATAAGTATTCAAGCAGTACTTTTTGAAAAATTATTTTGCCTTTAATAACAAAGCTGCATCAATCATGTGTGTAGAAATGATTTTGAATATTTTAAAAATGAAGAATTAATCCAGCAAGGAATAAGTAAAGTTAATTTCAGCTAATTTGAAAAAATAAAATAATTTGGGATTAATTTCCCCACCTGCACCGCCGGATGGTGCGCCCCATCCACCCTGCGATGGTGGACCTCCCCAACCACCACTGCCTTCACCGCCCCATCCCCCTGAAATTTTAGATTTAAAATTCGATGAAAAAGCTTTGGCATAAAAACCATCATTTGTTAGGAGTTAAGAAATAAGTAGTCAGTCAAATATACGTTTCCTTTAGTTGCAGCAGAAAAGCAACAGAGATCAAAGTTTTAAAAAATTTGATCATTAATTAATCAGTTAATTTAATGGAAGTCCATTTCATTTGGAAGCCCACATCATGAGACCTACCACGAACTGTTATATTATCTTAGGGAAGAAAAAGTACTGTTCAAACAAATAGAGGAATGGATATTATTTTTAAATAATTAAATTGATAATACACAGAACTCACGACCACCACCGGGTGCACCACCGTAGCCACCGCCATAACCTCCTCCGTAACCGCCTCCTACAAAGCAAAACTTGAGTAAGCTATTTTAATAACAATAAATGTTAAAAACTATTTCCATCAATTCCCAAAAGCAACTAAAACATTAAAACCAACACCGACAATTGAAAATTACTTTACCTGACGGTCCCCACTGACCACCACCACCTGCTCCATAACCACCAGGTCCACCGGGACCTGCACCCCACGGCTGTCCACCATAACCGCCTCTATCTCCCGCGGGGCCCCATCCACCACCGCCACGACCCATTGGTGGTCCTCGAGAGCGTGCTCCTCGATCCATTCGTTCACGTTCCTGTTGTTGAACCTGTACATATATTTTAGTACCCAAAATCCAACCCAGTGATATTACGGGTCATACCAAGGATTTTGCACTCAGACTTACAGCTAACACATGCCCATGTTGACAAGCGATCTATGTGAAATAATGAGATATATTATATCATATATCTGAGAGTATGCTAGAATTCCGTTTACAAGGACAGGTAGAGTAGCCAGAAGAGCACTGACAACTAAAAAAAGAATTAAAGTTAAGGAATATACGGCTATCAAGCTATAATCATTAAATACTTAACGTTGAAAATTCCGAAATGTAAAAAAAAATACCTTTGCCATTTCCTCTTTACTAAGTGCCTTTTTTACATCACAACGATAGTTGTTAATCATATGGCTTTTGATTAAAACACATTTGTCGACGGCATCATAGTCATCAAACGTTATGAAAGCAAATCCCCTCGGTTTGCCAGTGTTTTTGTCCGCAATTATTTCACACTGTAACAGCTTTGTTTGCGATTCTTGTCACTCATCACTTACGAAAATTAAAATTTGACAACTAAGAAAATTCACGAATATTGGCTTTGCTCGACATTACCGACACAAGTTTTAACGTAAGCCATTCTTAAGATTTCCATCTCAACCTATAGTCCACAAACATTCAAAGCTCAGAAATTGTCTCAAAAAATGAAATTTGAAAATATTTAGAACATCTAAAAAAATAAACACTGAATTGAACAAAATATGGTAGCATGAGAAAAGAATGCTACTGCTAGGAAAGAATCCGAAGATAACATTCACGCTATCAGTTATCGGTGACACTATAAATTACAACCACTTTAAAATATATAAAAATAAACCTTCAAAATATTTCCATATTTTCCAAAATGTTCCTTGAACATATCTTCCGTGTGTTCTTCCCTCACACCAGATACATAAAGTCTCTTAGAAGAGATATTCGCTTCACTTCGTTGCGATTGCTCGCGTGGAACCGCCCGTTTAGGATCGACGGTTTTACCATCAATAATGTGTGGCCGATTAGCCATAGCCGCATCTACCTGTAACAAGACATGAATATTTCATTCCAGTTTCCTAGTCACAAAAGTCATTGTAATGTTTAATGACAATTCACAATCATTAAATACGACATCCGATTGTTTTATCTACACTTTTCTAGATTATTTCACTGAACATAGCTTCCAAATAAAGCTTACAATTTTATAAATGAAAATCTTTGATCTAAAACAACTATCGATCGCATTAAAAATTAATAGGATGAGATAAGACCAATAGTCAAACAACATTCATATCAACATATTAGAGCATATCATAATTGAATGGAATTAATGTTTTAAACTTCTAATTTGTATTTGTGGCTTTTATTGTACTGAGAAATGTCTAAAAAGATAATCATATCATACCTCGGATTGCTTCGAGAAGCTTACAAATCCAAAGCCACGTGATCGTTTTGTCGCTGGATCACGCATGACAACGCAGTCCACCAAAGTACCCCATTTTGAATAAAATTCTTTGAGTGTTTCATCGGTGGTGGAGCTTGTAAGTCCACCAATAAACATTTTTCGATATTGTTCTGGTTCGAGATTTCCACCGGCCGCATCCTTAACGGAATCTGCTGAATCGATTTTATTTTATAAAATTAGAACAATCGGCAAATGAACTCCGTACTCGTTTTTCGGATCATGTTAGAAGCTCCAAATCTTCGGCGTATTCTCCAAAAAATATTGCCTTACGAATTTACCCACTTGAAAAAAACGACAAATTTCGCCAGCCATACGAATCACTACTGCCGATATTGGCACCAGATTCGCGGAAATGACTTTAAAAAAAGCTGAAAATGGGGTGCTTAGCAGCTACCTGATCTTATACTGCACTTTTACCTGGTTATGGAGTGAACTTACTCTTATCCTGAACTTTGATTAATCCTGAAAGCTTATCCTGAGTCCTGTTTAATATGGATCTTAAAGTAACTTAAAAAATAACATAAACACATTCCTTGATATTTGCCTGCCTGCTGCTTCATAGCTGTCATCTCTCCACGTTAACTGCCTGTTTTTACTTCGGCTCATTAAGCCAAATTAGTAACAAACAACATGTAAACAACGAAAAAGTCAATACGATACGAGAGAGAAAAAGGAAAAAGACTAGAAAGTAAATGCTAAATTAGTAAAAGCCTTACTCCGTTTTCTTCAGTTTTCACCATCGTATCTGTGTCTGTTTTGTGTCACTCTCTTAACACTGACTGTCTCTCTGATAGTGATTAAATGAAGTTATCGAGATCCCCTCACAACAAGTCAGTAGTAGAAGTATAACAATGTCTCTCTCACTGATTCCTGATTCTTGCCTGAATGCCTGCCTGATACTGATCCTGATTTTTATACCGATAGATAGAGTTTTCTTTTCTCAACTTAGTTGGCTGGCACACCCACTGCCTTAACACAATCTACAATGTGAAAACAGTCTTCATTCAACACAAATTTATGTAGAGAGAGAGAGAGAGAGAGAGAGAGAGAGATGGAAAGAGTCCTGATAAAAACGATTGGTTTCAATCCATATTTATCTCCTGAACCTTCAACTTCAATCATAACTAAATATCCAAGTTTGTAAGTACTGACTGAATTTGCCACAATGAAATTCTCCCTATCAATCATATCAACCAAATTTTCGTCTCCAAATCATCTGGATGATCATCATCTCCCTTCTCTCTCTCTCTCTCCCTCCCTCCCTCTCCCTCTCACACAACTTCGCCCCTCTCCTTTCACACTTCAACCATTATTTTCATTACTACCACCTCTTCCATCTTACTTTCATTTTCCAAATAATTAAGTGAAACTTAGATTGATGATCCGAGCAGAGTACCACATTGACGAGTGTGTCATCGATCGGTCACCCCAGCCACCTCGAATTCTCAAACAAAGAAAACGCCGAGCCACCCCACACACGTCACACTCCCTCAGGTATTCTCCCTAAAATATCAATATCGATCGGACCCGCAAAACGTTTATGACAACGCACTTTGCAAAGCGCCCTTTTGAAATGGGGTAAAAATGGAACGTATCGATTGCAATCACATTTCTCTCAATTTAATCGATGACGTGATCGTGATGTGGTGGCATACGTTCCTCATAAATTTCTCATAAATACCTCAAAATAACTACTTTCTCAGGTCTGAATATTGGAGAGAGAAAGAGGTATTAAATAAAACTGATTAATAGAAGAAATGGAGAATATCTGATATTATTGAGATTTCTCCGACTGGCATGGATATCTTCTTCGATGCTTCTTTTTTTTTTTGAAGTATAAAATGTCAAAGGTTAGGCCTAAATGTCACATTTATGCATCAGTTATTTAGTGATAGCTTTAGCAGGTTTCGATCCGACTAATCTCATTCTGTATTGAGAATTGTTTTGAGAATGGTTTTGAAAATGAAGGAATGTTTTCAGAGCTGGAATGAAATGGGCACTATTAAATTTTACCATGAAATTAAGTTTTTTAATTTAGGTAAACGAATTTCCGATTTAAATCGATTCAATTCCACCAAACAATTTCAAATCAAACTTTTTGATGTGGGCTTAAATTTTAACTGATTATTGTGAATCGTTCATTTACTGGTTGTTCTTATTTATATCTCAATCTATCATATGAGAATTAAATTCATTGAGAGTGATATATAATTTCTTCAGAGGAATTACATTCATCGAGAATGGCATATAATTTCTTCCAGAGCATGTTGGAAAGATATGATTGACTGAGATTTTAATTTCAGATTTTTTGCAGGACGTATCAATGAGCACAAAAAAAAAGAGAAAATGAGCAAATATTATTGACACTGTTTAGTCAAAATTCGGTGACAAGATAAGCTTCAGCAGGCTTATCGTATGAGAACGATGAAGCACTCAGCGTTCTTCGTCGACCTTCGAAACGTTCACCATCATTTTCCGCTCTCATTACCACGTCAATTGCTCGAAAGTTTCCAACTTTCTCTTATAAATGATAAAATATTTGTGAATTAAACGAATAATAGCAAAAATAACGTACGCAAAACGTGCATACGCGAATGTTTGGAATTAAATTTGAATTAAATTAACTTTCACATTTGAAATGTTTTTAATATCAATTATGAATTATCTAAACTTATGCTACCTCTATTTCTCATTTTTTTGTCTCGTGAACTTGTTCGTCTTGGCGAATTGTTTCGAATTATATCCGATTCACGTCCCGAATCAATAGCTGTTACAATTGATGGCATGCAAGAAGAATTTATCGATTCTTGCTCTCGTGATAAATTCAATACCTGTTGCTTATTGCTGAAATATTTTACTACTAATTGTATTTAAAAATCAGCATAACCAATGGTAAATATACTTGAACACTTTCATAGCTCATAAAATACTCTAAAATAAGCATTAATAAATTTTGAATGTCACTAAAAGCTGTTATTTAAAGATGTGTGAAACGGTTAAGTTGAACATGCTATAGGTCGAGATAGGATATCATAAAAGTGATAAGAACCTAATAACACTCCCGTAATTAGTAGGTGATGATGAACTTTCATCATCTGATTCAGTGTGTGTCGTATAGGATGGATGGTGAATATCCGCCGATCCACGACGATTGTCATATTTCGAATAGCATCTTCGCTGACTTCCTCTACCACTTCCTGAATTTTCCTCTTCAATTAGCTCTTTGTTTACTTCCAAATTATTCCATGGCCAATTAAAAAGAAGAAAAAATAAGCAGCACAAAGCAGAGAAAATAAAACGCTAATGCTCGTAAAGTTGATGCTCAACCTCGGCGACCATAACAGTAAGTACGTGACGCTATAACAGACATTTGCTGTAAGCTTAAGTCATCGGAACCATTACGATTGCAATCTCGAATGTTTTGATCCGGCATCTCCACGACAAATAGCTCCGGCTGAACGGCTAAATCAACATTTTTCAACTCCACTGGCACTGAATTATTGTTGTAATAAATCGATCCAGTAAATAAGCCTAAAACAAACAAAATATGCTTTGTCGGATAATTATGTTAATGACTTCTCTATTATTTGAAATTGAATATGTAATCTCGAAAAATATGAAAGAACTTCTATCGATCTTTTATAATCATTACTGTTCTTATCCTCTACTATTTCCCCTTCAATATATCCTTCATTCTAATATTTGCCTTCTAAATCGATTTTCCTCCGATAATCTATTGCAATTTAGTAATTCGTTTTTTTAAATTCTAAAGTATCATCACATGGAAAAGTTTTAAACAATTTTCTCGGTAAGCTTCTATCTTCATTTCTTACATTACAGTTGAAATGACATCGAACTGACATATCTGACAGTCATGTGAAGACGGAAAATACAGAGAGTTCCGTGAATGGTTTTTACCTATCGTTGAGTACATTTTAGCATTCATAGCTGAATGACATTATTTTTGTATTTTAATTTCAGAAGAATTTATTCAAGTTATTTTTTCAAGTAAAAAATTAATGAAAACAGAAGAAAACAGAAGGCAAGTAGAAATTTGTTTTTCTAAGCATTTTTTTTTTCCTCTTCTCACTTTCATCTTCAAAAATATCTCTTAAAATTAAAATGAAATATCTCCTGATATGATTATTTTTATCTAATATCATACAGAAAAAAATTTTTTTTTTATATTACTTTATAAGGAGTAAAATTTATTGTTAACATTCTCCTAATCAATTATCAATGCAATTACCAGATGTATTATCATCATCTGAGAATCTTTCATAACCACTATATTTCCAGCTATCATTTTTTCTTTTCGAGTAATGCTCTCGAGTAATAATTCCACCTTCCCCAGCATTCCTTTGTTGATCTTGTCGATGAGCAGGTAACTCAACTGAACGGCTAACAGTATCTGACTTCACATTATTCGCTATTCTGTCATTGTGCCCGAAAAATGAAACTTGCTAAAGTATGAAAATTTGAGTGATATTTGAAAGTAAAAATAATTCTGAAGTGTTGATTCCTGTACCGCATAGTAATTGTAACTGTATTAAGAATTTCGAATAGTTGACTGCAAACCAAGAAATATTTAATTTGATTGCCAATAAAATTCATTTTAATGCCTTACCTGTTCACCAATAATGGATCATTTTTTTGAGTAGCTAAAAAATAAGCATTGAAATGCTCAGTACGATGATTGTCATCCAGATCTTCTGTTTTAACAGGAGCAAACAATGAGATCGGTGTCACTTTACATTTTGAACTAGAAATACAATCATCAGATAATGCACATTTCGAATATATTTAAATACAAGCATCATACGAAAAAATTGAAAACTATTGATTTTTCATGATAAAATTACTCAGTAACGATGTAATTTAGTGGGATTATTACTCAGTCAGAATTTAATTTCTTTTTGCAATTGTGAAAGAGTGTAAATGTATAAGTTATTGATTGATCAATGCAACCTTACATTCGACTGGAAATTGTAGCAAATCGCTTCTGAAGTTTCTGATTACATTGAGCACCAGATTTTGAAATATTACTGTTTCTTGCTGGTGCATACCGGTATCGTTCCCGAGAGCTTATCGTTACAACATCATTGATAGTATCATTGTTTTTACTGTTTTTGCAATCATCAATATTGTAATTCGTACTACTATTGTTGTGCTTATTAGTTTTACTATTCAAGTTTCGATCTAGCTCCGCTCGAATATAATCGATTATATGTTGATCGATTTCAGATCGTTGACCAGCACAGGGTGATGCCTGAAATTGTAATGGGAAGACAATAATTTTGGAACCAATAATTTTAGTTCGCAGAATTTTTTTCCTAATTAATTTTAAGATGTTCTTTTTTTTTCGTGCTATTCAAGTCAAACCTTTGCAAAAGGATAGCTTAAGCAACGCTGATTTACTTTCTGAATGTTAAACAGAAAGTAGCAAGAATGATAGTAAAGTAATATGCGGACAGTAACAGTGATAACATCGATAGTCTCATCTACTTTATTTATTTCAGGAAGTGATGCAAGCATTTTCATGATGCACAAAGTAAAACGGCTTATCTTATCACCGAAAATAATACAGAACAGCTTATCATATCTCGAAAATAATGTTGTTGAATTGTGGAATGAAAAAAAAAGGATGAAAAGAAAAAAATTTATTAGAAAAATTTATTCAATTTGTAAGATTTTCATCGGCTACATTTTGAATTTCATAAAAATGATTGGAAATAGTAGCTTACATCATTTTGATGCCTCATTGATATGGCTGAAGTATTTTCAATTGATACTATCGGTTGTCTTTTAAATTCTTGATTTTGTCCCATCGTTCTATTATGCTCTCTGCTTATCATTGATATTGAAAAATGCTGTAATAAAAAATAACAATGTAAAAATTCAATTCATTTCAAATTCAAATTGATTTGGAGAAAAAAAAAGCGATCAAAGCTAAAGGATATCTAAAAACTTTATGAAATTTCTTGAATTCAAAAAAATTTTTAGAACTAAAACTTTTGTGTATTGCAAATAAAAATGTATCATACTAGTAGAATTCGCTGATACAATGAAATGAACAGAAAAAAAAACAAATTATAAAACTTAACACTTCTGAATTAAAAGTTATTTAATTAAATTCATAGAAAGGAAATGGAATGAAAATTAAATGCACATGTAAAAATTTCAATGAGTATTGATATTTTTGAGGGTATAAAATCATTTCAGTTTCTTTTAATTTTCCAACTTATCTAATATAGGTTTGAAAATGATTTGAAAGTGATAAGTTATAAGATAACAATGGAAGAGAAATGTAAAATCATTTCAAAAGGAAATAATTTCATAGCTAAATGAAGCATATAACATTTGCAAGTGATATTTATCATTCATTTCCAAATGGCATTGTGTAAATTTCTACAATGTCAAAGTTTAACTGATCAGAGCTCATTTCAATGTTTCATTTATTTCAGCAAATTTTGTTTAATGATCCGATTAGCTTCCGCAAATTTTGCTATTACCTTTTAAGGGACAAAAACCGGTTCTAGCAGTGACAATGTAATTAAGTTGAATTCTTGAACAGAAAACAAAAACTGTAAATTTCAAAACATAAATCTATTCCATTCTCTCTCTCCCTCTCTCTCCTTCTTTCATCTGGAAAAATAAGGTCAACTATTTCGCTCGTTAAATTGCAAAAAGATTTAATGCAATCTATTTGGCAAAATTTTATTCAACAATTTTTGAAATTATTGCAATCTTTTAATTCTTAATTACTTTCCAATAAATCCACTTCGTAATCCTTTCAAACATAATTAATTCCTTTTAAATGTAATTAATTAAATAAAGAAGGAACTATTTTTTCAATCAAGTAAATTTTTTTTTTTTTTTGAAAATATTACACAATTTTTGGAAGTTTTCTAATATGCATGACTTGCTTTATGATGCTTACAGATAATATTAAAATTGAAATCAATGGAGTCATAACAGCTATTTTTCAATTTCTGACAATCAATACGAATTAAATGATAATTGATTTAAATAGAAGTTTGTTTGTTGCAATTAATATTTCAAAAATTGAACGAGAAATTAACAAAAAATTATAAATGGCGAAGAATTGATGCAATGTTTTCAACAAACTCTCTCTACCGTTAAAATTTATAAAAGTTTATAATTCATATGAAATACATTTCTATGATCAACTTGTCAACTGGAAACAATAAAATAAATCGAATTTTTACTATTTTGAAAAAATGTGATGATCAAAAGTAAGGAAAATGTCAAAATCATTTCAGAACTATGTTATATCAGTAATTAATGAATTTCTACAAGTCTTCTTAATTTATATAATGAATATTTTCAATCCATCCATGGAACACATGGAATAAATTGAGTAAGATAATGACTTTAAAATGGACCATAAGTAAATGATGCAAATATCTGGTTCCAATGATAATTTAAGCAAGATCATTTTATAAAATTTAAACTTTGTGAATTCAAACATCATAAGTAAAACGATCGTTTTTTTATTATATTTAATACTTTGCTTGAATTATTTTCTACCATAATATATTATTCTATTAAAGATAATAGTGATAAATTTCGTTTTATTATCAATAATTATTATAAAATTTAAGTTTAAATATTGCTGAATTATCGATCATTGAAAATACTGTGAAAGCACCGAGAAGTGATTAGGAATTTCTTTAAATTTATCATATTAGATAAATTTCTTTCATCTCTTTACATTCGACTCATTTATTGCTAAGAAAGAGTAAAATGAATGAATAAAAATTGTTTCAATGAAGAGTCAGATAAACCTATATTAAATATTAGGTACCGATTCATATTCCTAGGTCATTATATTTATTTGATTTTCTTGAAAAGTACTGAAAAAATGACCTTACATTTGGATCATCATATGCGATGCAAGTCTTCTGTTTTAATGCTTCTTCGTTCACCGCAATATCCGTATTATCTTGTCGTAACAGGCCTACAGTGACCAGGCCATTGGTCATGTACAATAATGCAGCAAGAACTGAGCTAAGCCCAGCCAAGAGGAAATAAGTATTGTCCATCAACTAAACAATACCAAATTTTTGAATGATTAAAACTTCCATTTTATTAACTTTATACAATTATTGAAAATATTACAAAAAGTTCTTTGTTCTGCACAGCTTGAAGTATGTTTTGCACAGTTTGAAGTATTATTTAGAAGTAAATTACTGATTTAACCAATGAAAATCTAGAAATGGAACAATAATTCCATTTTTGATTATTTAATAAAGGAGTTTGTTAAAGATTGCTATGATATTTCGTATATATTAAAAATTTTCAGTCATTTTTTGGAATTCAGTCAGAAATCAATATTTATAGAAAATTTTTGAATTTTAAACATCCTATATTCGTTCTATACTATTCGGGACAATTTAAAGTAAAAAAAAAAGACATAGTAATGACTAATTATTTGTCAAATTATTCATTTAGTATAATTTTAGTTTCCTCAAGTACAATATAATAACGTCAAAGTCAAAGATTTCTGATAATTCAATGTGATGAAATTACCAAAAAATAAATTTTTCTCTTTGTTTTGCAAATTAAAGAAGCCTGTTGATAGTTCATGAAAGATTTAGAAAATTTAGAAAATAATTGTCAAGCATTTTTCTAACGATAAATATCATTTCGTACATTTATGAATAACTTAGTTTATTAGTTTTTTATCTGCGTGTTTGTGTTTGTGAATAAATTAAAAAATAACCTTGAGAAAACCATAAAGTAATAAAATGCCGAAACCCAAGAAGACGACAGTCATGGTGAAACAAATTGCAATTTCAACTCGAAACCAACTTCTTTCCACCGCTCCATAACATCTATCATATTGATTTTTTCGATTTGTTGATCGAAGTATCAAATATATACCTGAAATAACCGAAGGATTCATCTGAATATATAACATATATTAACAAATGACCCTTTAACTGTTACTTCCGTATTTTAATTTAAATGATTTCAGATTTGGAAGAAAAGAACCTTTTCTTTTCTTCCAAATCTGAAATCATTTAAATTAGTGCTGTATAAAAATGCTACTGAGAAAGTGATATTTGATGCTTTCATTGTTATCAGGTATTTTCAATATTTTAAATTCAAAATAATTGTTGTATGACTAATTGAGGAAATATTATTCATTATTAGTAACAAGATATTAATCGTTAACAGTAATGAAATATTTATCATTAACAGTAACTAAATCAATTAGAAAATGGTAAAGTTTCATTTCGATTTGAACTAACATTGCTCGATTTGACAAGTTTTACAATTCCAAATTTTATAAAATATTTACTCTTTTGTTCATCTTAATTGGAGTATGGAAAAAGAAGTAGTAAATGTAAGTATGAAATGAGCCAAAAAGACAAACCAAAAGGAGGTACCAGAAGGGATGATAATGTAAGTATCCAATTCGACCCTGTACGATACATACAATAAACCACGAAAGCAGAACAAATGAATTGGAAAATTTTTAGCACAATTCGAAATATTATTTGCATCGATACCATCTAAAATTCATATTTGCTAATTTTTTATCAAAATATTCAACAATCAATCTGCTAGAAATGCTTAAATAATATATGAAATGTAGGAGAAAAATGAGTTCAGTGTTTTTATTTCTTCTACATCGATTTTTAAAATGGAAATTAAATTGTAAAAATTGAACGCATAAAGATTGTATGGAAAAATCTTTCCTTCTTCTTTCTTTTTGCATATCCTTCAAAAAATTATATAATTTACAATGTTTGAATGTGCAAATTCAGAAAATAAATTGAGGACATTCGTTAAAAAAAAAGAAAGAAAAAAACCGGAATTTAATGAAAAAATTTTGCCGTTAATTTTCTAATAATACATTCGTTTGACTTTATTTTTGTTGAACTTATTCTATTCTTTTAGCACTTATGTATAATTTCAAAATTATTCACTAACGCGATAGATTGTCCAATAATTATTCCATAATGCACTTTTCATCCAAACACAATCACCATCACAATGACACAAAGATGACAGATTGTCTCGAAAAACTTTTTACAACGCTCACAATAAATCCTTTCCCTTCGTTCATTTCTGTTAATTTGAAAATTATGGATTTGAAGGAATAC